ACTCTTGTTCATGCTTAGGCATTGAGAAAACGGGCCATCTGAGGGGAAAAGGACAAATAAAACGTCATAGGGAGGTAACAGCCTTCCTCCATAGCCTTCCTTTTCCTCCTATGTATATTTCTAGAAGGCAGACCTTGCACAGTTACCATAACAACAGTTGGAACATTTGTTATTCTTTACAACACATAGTGGTTTGTGTTTAAATTTAAAAAGTTATTTTATACATGTGGGTCTTTTACCTGCATGTTGATATGTATACCATGTGTGCACTTGGTGCCGGTGGAGTTGATTATAGAACTTTGGAACCCCTGAAACTGGCATTGCAGATGATTGTGGACCTCCATGTGGGCTGGGAATCAAACCCAGGTTTTCTGGAAGAGCAACCAGTGATCTTAATTGCTGAGCCATCTCACCAGTCCCAGTAGTTCACTTTTTAAATGTATTCTGATTCTTGATATTAAACTTTAATATCCTGGTAGCCAGTCAGGTTAATAATTAAGTATCTATTTTGGAGGGGTTATATTGTTCAACAAAGGGGAAAGAACAAAAAGAATAAAACAAGTGATACAATTCGTAAAAACTGAATGAGGACTGTGATCTTAGGGTGCTTTATCCTTCTTCATTGCAAACCTGCGATTGGGCATACATTTTACATGAGCATAAACACCCTCAGACATCTACCAACCTCTGATGAAAGCCCTGTGCATAGGCAGGGAACAGTGGGGGCAGAGAAACCAAGCTCCATGGTTGCATAGGGATTTCTGGGGAGAATGAATCATCAGGAGATGAAAGGACAGTCCTTAGATGAGAGTTCTGACTTCCTGGATTAAAATAAGCCTTCATCCGTTTACTCATATCCTAGAGTCTCTTCAGTGTACATATTGAAGCACTGTGTGCCCCACTTATTGGTAAATCTCAAGAAGAACTAATATGTATTTGGTGCTGCATCCAGCATGCCTTGGGAATTGGAAGTTAATTTGTTAGCTATCACAGGAGTGCTATTCCATGGCCTAGAAATATCTGTTTCCATGCTAGAGTAGTTAAGTACCATCTCCTTGCTTTATATTGGGATTTCAGGATGAAGTGTGGAGGCAATTGGCAATCAGGACTTTTGGTGGGAAGTGAGGCAGAAAGAAGAGGGAAAATAGAGAATGGAATTCCTGGTAGAGTCACTCCCAAATGACTTTTCTTGGCTTTATTTACAATGATCTGCTGCCAGCTTTATTTCAGTTTGTTTCTTTGGCTATTTTTCTAGTCCCCGTCTCCCTTTGTTATTAACTTTTAAGGTTTATGGCTTTTTCTCATAATTCTGTCCTCCGAGACAGAATTTCTTGGTTTCTACAATTTCTCCAAGAACTTTCCATCTCTCTCTTCCTCCGACTTCTCTTGAAATCCCAACATATTTATGTATTCAATTAACTCCCCTCCATGTTTAACACATTCAAAAGTGTATTGGTCATCACCTTTTTTCCTTCAAAGTCTTCATCATTTCCTAATATTGCTTATATTTTAATAGGCACACTTAGAACTGAGATCATCTCCTCCATCAATTTGACCTCATTTCCTTCAAACTAAATCCAAGCCTTTTCACATATAACTCCAGATGACTTAACCTCCTTCTTCAGCCTCAAGTAGCCCGCTATTTCCCTCAGCATATGTCATTCACTTATCTTTTAAACCATACTTCAGTGCTACATAAAACCTTTCGTGGATCTCAGGAGCTATGCAGAATGCCTCCTACCCATGAAGTCTTACAGGCTATTAAGTCCAAGTCTTTCTAGGCATTGTATATTTGTCATGTTAATCCACCCTTTCTGTAATCTTGCCTTTTGAAGCAGACTTTATCCTGTTTCATAGATGAAGAAACTGAAGTCCAATGTTGCATAGTTGGAGTCTCTTGCGTTTGGCTTTTGTAAAATGGTACTCCTCTGTATTTCTATTGCATGCTGACAGCTCCACTTTGTTTTGTTCCTTTGACTTTTCCATTTTTCACCTTATATCATCACTACTATTTTCTAAAGTAACAAAGTTCAGAATCAAAGGTAGATTTTCATGTTGTTTGAAAGGCTTTTTGGTCTTTAAGTATGAATAACCACAGTGAGCAGATCTGTGCACACAGCAGGTCATTGAATGCATGCTGGATGAAAAATGAATGTGTGGGGTACGATAATGTATGAAAACCTTGTAGCAAATTAAAATTTAATTCTGTACAGAAAATGAATACATATGACCAGTTTTTAGCTCAAATTTAATTTACTTTTATTAAAAAACCCAGAAGATGGGAGAAGAACATTCTTTTACTCTGACAGGTATTTATGGTAAACGTGCTTAGAAGCTTCTTATAGCTTGAAGACCCTCTGAATTCATTATATTCATCATACCTCTGCATACACAACAGCCAGCTCTTGGCTCAAGGTTTTATAACTCATGCAGCAAGTAGGAGTATAGAACCGCATAGCATAGCTTATAAGTTAAAAGTAGATTTTCCAGGGAAAGGCTATATCTGCATTTGAATTTTGTTTTTATAGATGGTGTCCTGAACAGAGGGCTGATATTCAAAGCTAACAAACTGTAGACACTTGATCAGAATCTGGGAATATAGTTCAAACCATAAACACTCATGGTCCTCTAGATTTGGTCTATCTGGGTTTATTGTGCTAATTTAGCAACACTCAGTTTGGACCCATCTTTAGTTTTTATCTATAAATATTTATTTTACTGAGACTACTTTTCACATCACTTTGATGTAATACTTGACAGAAACAAAGTAAGGGAGAAATTTATTTTGGTGCATGGTTTTTAAGGATATAGTTTATCTTGGCAAAGAAGGCATGGATGCTGGGTTGTCTCTCTCTATAGCAGCAGGAGCATATAGCAATTTGTTCTTATCTTGGCAGATCAGTACATGGAGAGCTTGGGTTTTCATTAGAAGTGTGTTTAATTTTCAAGGTCTGCCTCAAGTGACCTTCATTTAGGTCTGATGTCCCAAAGATTCTATAAATTCCTTAGAACAGCACCGCCAACTGAGATAAAGTTCTAAAACACATGAACCTGTGTGGGGCATCCCACATTCAAACTATAAAAACCAGAAACTAGCAATTCTCTTTCTTCACTGAGACAAGATCTAGCAGAAATTGATTATTTTTCTTTGGAAGAAAACAAGATCAACATAAAAATGAATCTTGTTAGAGAGGAGATTAAGATCTCCTTCCTCAGAGTTCCTTAAGGCCATCTGTTTTGATGTTGACATTCTTGTAAGTTTAGTATAAGTGAGCCCATATTAGTAGTATGGTTTGATGCTTCTGAGGCTGAAAGACCTGTTTTGGTAATTTATTCATTATTACTGGCAGAAAGACAAGTTTATTTCACTGAACCTCAGTCTTCTCATTTTTTAAATATGGCCAATAGTGAAAAGCAGCTTATTTAGTACAGACCGTGCATTATGCTGGGTGAGGAAACCGTTTGTGAACAGTGAAGCACAAGGTATTGAAAATACATTTGAAAAGGTCCTGTTAGATATTTCCATACTGAGATTTTCCTGTGCCTAGATTGCTGTGGAGAGCATAGAGGTTAGACTCCTGAGCAAAGAAGTATGTCTTAGACATGGCCTAGGAGATTAGTATACCAAGTCATAAAAGCAGTGTATATTATATGTATGTGTTCATATGTGTACAGTGTTCTGCATATTCATTTTCTGATTGGACTGTAGCATTCATTCTCTGGACAATGTATTATATGATCGGTCTGTTGGAGAGGCTAAATATTCTTCAGATGACAGCTCTGCTGTCTTTGAAATGTTTTATCTTTGGTATTATGGAACTATGATTTCCTCAGGCAGACGTTTCTTCTTCAAATAGGCTCAGGGAAAAACTTATTTATAAATTGGCATGTTCTGTAATTGAGTATGGAGAGAGAGTGTTTGAGTCTTTTTGCCAGGAAGGCCATATGTTCTCTAATTCCAAATTGTGCCTCTACAAATGCCGGGGAGACCAATAGGTACAAGGTGGGATAGTTCAGGGGAAAGTAAACATGAAACCGTGGTCAGTAGCCAAGGAGAGGCGGCCTAACTCCCACTCCATCCTTATCTACGAGCTTAAATGAGTGTCATGACTATATGTGTTTTGTTCATGTGCACGTGGTAATGGATAGATGTTTGCTCTCCGGTGTGTGGAGCCCAGTCCTGATTTCTATGAAATTCAGTCACCCAGGTTAAGATCAAGGACTGCGCATACCCTCTACCTCACTGAGTGGTCTTTAGTTCTTCATTATCAGTTTCTTTTTAATGTATCAGATGAAGCCAACACGGACTCCCTAGCTAAACCACAGGTCCGCTGAACAAATTTGTTTATGCATCTAAGCCAGAATTGAGTTCATCGTGCACAGCAAAGGAAGCCATACTCTTTCATACCCATGATCTATGTAAATGGAATCGAGCATGGGTGAGAGTAGCAACTGTAGGACTGGGGTCGGTTGTGTTTGAAGAATGCTATACTCTCTTATCACACGGGAAGGCATATGGTTGAGTTAAATAGTATGCTACCAACTCTCAATTGGTCAGTTTCAAGGAGGAGGAAAAAGGGAAAGGAACATGAAGAATTGAAAACAAATATGCCTGCACTTTATTTTAGTCATTGATGCTAGCCTTTCTACTTTAAAGATCCAGGGCTGCTTTAAAGCACCAAGGAGATATGGATAGAGCTTTGTTTGTTTGTTTGTATTCATGTTGGGAAGAAGAGTTCATGAAAATAGATGAAAGCATGATGCTTTGTCCATATTCACATGCTGGATTATTCCATGCACTGGCTAATCGAGAAATGACAGCATTGTTTGTCTTGTAGTCCAATATAGCTTGCATGTTGGTGTCATTTCCCCTTACCGCCACATCTCACCACCGGAACATGTAAGCATTTCCATTATAAGTAGAGCATTTGGGGTGAGGGAATGCTCAAGTAGACTAGTCAGATGTATGGACTGAACACATTCTCATTTTGTCTCCTAAGCTGATCACTGGAGATTCCATCGTTAGTGCTGAGGCAGTATGGGATCACGTCACCATGGCCAACCGGGAGTTGGCATTTAAAGCTGGCGACGTCATCAAAGTCTTGGATGCTTCCAACAAGGATTGGTGGTGGGGCCAGATCGACGATGAGGAGGGATGGTTTCCGGCCAGCTTTGTGAGGGTGAGTGCCAACCTTCACTCTGCTCTTCTCTCATTGGCTGCCTAACCCAGCTTTCCCGACCCACACTCTTGCTCTATTCCTTTTTCTCCTTGTCTTTTCATTTCTTTTTCTCTTTCTCCCTCTCTGTCTCTTCATCTCCTTCTTTTGCTTCACTCCTACCTTTTTCTTAAATCTCTGCCTTTCTAATCTTTTGACCTCTCTTCTATCTCTTGTTTATTTTGGTTCATTCTCTGCTGCTCACCTTTTCCTAAGTCACTTCCTTTGTTTGATCTTTATCTTTCTAGATTTGGCTTGGATAGTTTTGAAGTCTTTTTCCCCAAACCTCTATGTAGCTGTGATTTTTTCACCTTTCTATTTCTTTTCCTCCACCTACTTTATTTTCTATATCCCCCTCTTGATCCTTTCTTCTTCTAGATCCTTCTTATCTCTTCCACTCTTCATTTTTGCTTATTCTCTTCTCTTTCTCCTTACATCAACTATTCTTCTTTCCTTTTTTCTTTGTTTCTCTCCTTGGAAGAAGTATGAACACCATTATGGACTGGTACAGTCTTCAGCTGTTAATGTCAGAGTGTGTACTCCCTGTTCTCAAGGGGCTGAAGTTTACTAATCTCAGGTCTCACTTCTTATAGCAAAGTCAAATGGCTGGGATCTAAGACATGCTATGTATGGAAACAGGAAACCTGTAAAGGCTTGGAAGGATATGGATTGTTTGATGTTTTACCATAAAATTAATACCGTTGTTCTGTAAGGTCTCTGTTTCCACTAGGTCACCTTTTAACAGGTTGCTATTAGTGATTATAACTGACCATGTGTTCTAGATCTTGGCTTTCCTTGAGGTTGTTAGTTTGAATTTGTTCTTTGAGTATTGGAAGGGCCAGATTCTCCCATCTGCAAAATGGTCTTGACAATCTTTTTTTTGGGGGGGGGGCAGGGGATATCACAACGGAAAAGAGACAATAAAAAATTCTTTATGGGAAGACAGATAGCAAAGAATTATGAGGGTGTGTTATGGCCACCCTTTCTATAACCTATATCTTTCCGTTAGTTCCTTCTAGAATGCCGTGTTCCTCTTTTATATTTTTAAAAAGAAGTCTTTTTTGAGAATTTTGTACATGCATATAATGGAAGTCTAGCCTTTAATGGTGTACCAGCTCCTGTGGTTTAATGATTAACACACTGGACTCTGAGTCCAGCAATCGGAGTTCGTGTCTTGGTGGAACCTGTTCCTTGAGGAAGAGACTTGGTCAGTCATCCTCATCAACTCAGATCTCGAAACCCAGTATAAATGGGCTGCCCATGCATGCTTCGGCATTGCTAGGGTTATGTTTTACTTCCCTTCATATAATAGAAGGTCTTTAATTTTTTTTTCTTTTTTTAGTACTGAGGAACCCAGGGCCTCACATGGCAAGCTATATCACCATCTTTATTGTTGGTGTTTCCTCTAAGATAAGGTTTAAGTATTCTGGGTCTCAAACAAAAGATTAGAGGCCTTGGGCTTTTGGAGCTCAAATTGCCTAAAGGTTGGCCTTATGGCATGTATTTTGAAAGGAAGGAGCAAAGTGCTGAAGTTAACTTGAAGTGCAACTTTACTAGTTTTTACCAATATGCTTTTTACTTTTTATTTATTTTTTGGCAAGGTTTTCACTGAAACATAGGGACCACAACAGACTTTCTCTAAGAATTTAATGAACTAAGACATGCTAATAAAGATTTAGCACAGTTTGACAAGTATAAAGTACTTGAAAAATGACTATTTACATTTTAGTTTTCATCATAAGTATAGCTGTGATCATTTTTACCCTATATCAATACTGGACATATTAGTTGAAAGAAAAACCTATCCTGCAAGGGCTATCAACTTATAAAGCACAGTGAACTGATTGATAGGATTTAGGTGTTGGCAGCACCCTGAAGTAGGGAAATAGATAAAATCATCTCTTAGCTCCTATGCCGAGTGTTTTCGAATGAAACATCTAATTCTTCATTCTCCACTTATATGGCTTATTTTGTTAACACATTGAAATGTTATCTGTGTCCCAGTCCAGCTTTACTGGTTGATGAGCCAATCCCTAGGGTATTTGAAATGAAGCCATCAATAACCACAAGACTTACGAATGAATGTGGATCGCTATGCACACAGAGCTTGTGCTTCTTCTGCTGACCACCCTCTCTGTTTTAAAAGAATGATTAAACCACACTGAAATATTAATATGTTTTGTTTTCAGGGAGACAGACCATAGGATGAGAAGGAACATTGAACACATCAGGGTGGCTTGGGGAAGTTAGTGTCAGGGTCAAAGTTTAGAGAATAACCATGAACATGCACTGATGGTTTTGAGACCATAGCTAAAATGAGTGGGATTTCAGGCACATATCCCCAGTAGCCATTTTGTATAGAATCACAAAGGAACAGATTAATAAAACCCAGAATTTTAATGAAATGCCACCCCCTCATTTATTGTATAATCATCTGAATAGACAGTTTTCCAAAGAAGACATGAAATAAATGATCAGTAAATAATTTTTCCAAATGTTCAACATTTTCAACCATCAGGAAAATGTAAGTCATTAATAAGACTACTTTAAAATATAATCTCATCACAATCAGAATGGCTAACATCACATACCACCACTACCACCACCACCATTACCACCACTGGAAACAACAACAACAACAAAAAAAACCAACAAATGCTGGTAAGAATGTGAGGAAGAAAAACTTTATGCTGATTGGTAGTGTGACCTTGTGTTGTCCCTATGGAGATGAGTATTAATGTTTCTTGAAAATGAAACATAGAACTGCTATCTAATCCTGGGTATGTGCTGTGTTAGTTTTTATAGCTGTGATCAAATAACTGACAAGAAGCAACAAGAGTTGGTTTGTTTAGGCTTATAGTTTGAGGGAATATAATCCATCATGACAAGGAAGGCATATGTTTTCATTTGCATTCTGTTGTTGCGAGAAACACCAGACCAAAATACATCAAGGAAGATATTTTATCTTATAAGTGTTAGGCCATCATTGAGAAAAACCTGGACAAAAGCTCATGGCAGGAACTTGGAGGCAAGAACTGAAGCAGAGATCATGAAAGAATGCTTCTTACTGGCTTGCTCAGCTTGTCATCTTATGTAGCTCAGGCCCGATGGTCTAGTGATGACATCACCCACAGCGAGCCAGTCCCCCCACCACATCAATTAGTGATTAATAAGATACCTCACAGACAAGACTACATCCCAATCTGATCTAGGAAATTCTTCAGTTTAGATCCCCTCTTCCCTGGTGACTCTAGGTCTTTTTTAGTTAAAAATTATGGCAGCATGGCAACAGAAGCTTGAGACAGCTCTTGTCACCAGTCAGGAAGCAGAGAAAGGTTAATGCTGATGCTAACTTAACTTTCTCTTTTGTATTCAGTCCAAGAGCCTAGCCTGTATCATGGTGCTGCTTACATTCGGGGGGAGGGGATATCCTTTTCTCACATGAACTTTTTTGAAGACATCCTCATGTACACCCCTGAAAGTATATTTTCATAGTGGAAGATTAGCTGCCATGATTCCAAAAGCACTCTCATTTCTACCGCAAAGATATGTGCACATCCACATCACTGTTGTGTGCTGCACAATTCATAAGAGCTAAAACTACAGAACCAGCCTTAGTGTCTATCAACAGCAGAAGCCATAAAGAAAATGAGAAGAAAGAATTTGCAGAATGAGATTTTATTTAACTGTAAATAAGGATGAAATTTGCAGGAAAATGGATAGAACTAGGAAGCATTACGTTAAGTGAAATAAACCACACTCAGATAAATGGGAATGTGTATAGTTCCTGAAACTAGAAAAGGGACCATGAAAGAGGAAGAAGAGCTCTTAAGGGGACTTTGAAAAGAAAAACAAGGTAGTAGAATACATGTGACATGGAAGTAGAAGAGTATATATTGAGGCAGATAGTAGAAGAGAGTCTTGGAAGAGGAGTGACTATGAGAACAAGGTATGTATGAAAATACTATAATGATACCTGTTCCTTTATATGCTAAATAAAAGAAACAACTTTAAAAAGAAGGGAATGCTCCACTCAAATGCAAGCTAGCTTAATAAAACTCTTTAAAGATAAGAAAATTATAATTTTTTTTAAAGAACACTTAGATCAGCCATTCTAAACCTGTGGGTTTTGACCCCTTTGGAGGTTGAATATCGGGTATTTACATCATGATTCATAACAGTAACAAAATTACAGTTATGAAGTAGCAGTGAAAATAATTTTGTGGTTGGGGTTATCACAACATGAGGAACTGTATTAGAGGGTCACAGCATTAGGAATGTTGAGAATCATCGCTCTAGATGCTTTTATGTTGGAGTTGGTGTGTAAAAATGTTATTTATTATGTTTCTACTAGAAAATATAATGTAATAAAATACATAGATGTAGTTGAAAAGTAGTCACAAGAAAAAGTAAAAAGTTACAGGTGAAATTAAATGTCATATATTCCAGTATATTCAAAATATTATAGAATATCCAATAATATCACTATAAAATCAATAATGCTTTATTATTTGCATTTTAAAATATATTATATATGTAGAATATAGCTCAATTAATATTAGTAACGTGACTAATTTCTACTTTCCCAATAACAAAAGTACAAGCTTAGAGTGAATAGTATACAGATCTGCAATGTTAATGACAGAGCATAAACTATAACAGGACTCTAGTGTTTTCTACAATATCAGTGTTTATCCCGTGAGTATTTAAAGTAGTATCCCATGTCTGCTTCAAATTGTACTCAACACTAACATTTTATTTTCTTTGTGATCTCTTTCTTTTGTTGTTTTAAGTAGAGTCAAATGGGTTCAGCATCACTGCTGGGGACACTTGGGGAATACCATGGAAACGTAGATGTCAGCTACAATGCTGTTGTTAGTTAAAGAAATGATGTTAAGCTATTTAATGATTGATAGTTTTATTAACTCCAAGATAGACCTTTTAATTCTCATGAATATTTATGA